ATCCTATAAACTGCAGACAATTAAAATCTTAAAAATATGACACACAACAGGATGAGTGTTGTCACAGGATGGATGGAATGACATGAAGTGCTGCTGCAGAGAGAGACAAGGGAAGATACACAGGATGTGAGTATGCCCTAGTTTTCTGGATATATTTAAACTTTTTCAAATACAAATTAATTTATTTACAGGAAAAGCCCTAGAAACCTCTACCTAGTTTATTCTGCAATACTTAGTTTTTTACAGTCTTCTATTACAATGTAGTATAAACACTGAGGTAACTCATGAAAAATATCTTCAGTGTATTTTCCATGTTACGGTGGACCTCTGATTTTTGTACAGACCTTGATTTTGCAGTATATCCTAAATGATGATGTATTACTAAAATATGTTTCAGTCTAGAAAGCTTATACTGTCAATAGAAAACAGTGTAAGAAAGGCTGGACTAAGTTTAGAGTTGTTTATAAACTCATGCTGAGTAGATGTCTGCAGCAATTATCTTCTGCAGAAGAGAAAAATCTGGAATTACAAATACACTAACACCTTTCCCTTTTCCAAAGCATTATCACCATAATAAATAATTTCATAGTCTAAACCAAGAAATAGCTACATTTAAAAAAACTATAATCTTACCTTGCAAGGGTAGCCAAATCACAATACAGAATGCTATTTTTTACTGCCTGCAGTATGGGGTTTGCTGAATTTCAGCCTGCAAATGAAAGTTTATTTTTCCACACTTGACCCAAGACTTATCTTTTTCATTCAACTGCAGGAAGAGGAAATGTTCCAAGGAAATAAAATACCATTATATTCAAGAAAACATTGGCCAGTGTAATTGAAAGAAGACCCAGCTGTCTTCCATCATACTACAAACATACTAAAAACATTCTTTGTAGGCAGCTGAACAGAAAACACAATCAGCTGGAATATGTGGAATGAAAAAACACTCCTCTGGCATATGGATAGATGGGTTTTTTGGAGACTTACTCAAGTAAAGCACTTGCCACCCTTCCTGAACTAGCTGCTTGCCATAGTAACTAATGTCCTGTATTGCACATGGCCTGTGGTTTCCTGCAATGGAAAACAAAACATGGCTGCCCAATCCTAACTTTCCATGACACTACACTTGAGTTCTACACAATTGTTGAGCTATATGTACTGATAAGACAGTCAGATTTATGTTGATAGGGGGCCATCCAGTAAAATCAAAGGATATTTATACAAGATTTGGATTACAGTAGCTGCTTTCCTAGCTGAAGAAACAATATACAAGGACTACTGTAAATTAAGGTTTCATTCTTTCATGGCTATTGGGATTTGTTTCCCCTTTTTCACTTTGTAAATACTTTGCATGCCTCTTCATATAAATCTCTTGCAAAGCTATGCCCTCCTTCCTTAGTATTTTCCATTATAAGAGTCCCTGACTCCCATACAGCTTCCAAAGCCTTGTCAACATCCCTGGGCTTTGCAATAGGCCTTTCAAATGTTTCGGCAGGGGGCAGGAAGGCTTACGTCGGAGTAGTTTTTCTTCATGCAAGAAACTCCATGCAGGCTTTCCTGCGTTATAACCTGTAACAGAACTAGTTCAGGATTACTTCTGTTCAAGGGCAATGGTCAGAGACTGGCACACTGAGAAGAGCACCACACTTATGCTACCAAAAGCACCATCGTTATGAAGCTGTTGGAACAAAAGAGCATGGGAGAAGGAGTGAAAATTGGCAGTACTGCTCTCCCTTTCCCAACACGCCCCTCGGCCAGAGCTAGCATCTTGCCCTGCACCATCCTGCCGGGGCGGGCCATGCACCTACAGCCCAGGGCGGCTCTGAGACTGCCCTGCTCAGCAGTAAGAGTACAATCATCCCACTAGGAGCACACTGACAGGCAGCCACTAAGAACTTGGAATAAGTATCAAGAATAAAAAAGACCCTCACCACCCTAAACCCTCCCTGCTGATGCAGAAGGGTGAGCACTTGCTGCAGCTACAAGTGCTAAAACAGAAGGGGTGAACCCCAAAGAAACACCCCCCAGCACCTTCTAACATACAGCAACGTGGATGTTAGAAATGAAGGTAAAAACTATTTAGGTTTCAAAAGTCAAATGCTCACAAATGGAAGTGATGATGTATAGTTGTTTGCTATCTTAAAAAGCTCATGTATAAAACCTGTTTTTTTCTTGTATTTTTATATATGTAAAAAGTATGTTTATCAAATTTGGCTTTTTTTATATATAATGTATATATGTATATGTATGCTTATTTAGGTATTTATATAGAGAGAATAAGCTTGTGTTTAATCACATACCACCTCTTCCAAGGGACCTTGTTCAATACAGAGAGGAAAAATGTAAACGACTAGATTTAGGAGTTGTGTACTCAGCTCCAATTCTGATGTTTCCTTGAAGTGCTGTGCTAGCCACCAAAACAACTGCTGTAAAACAGATGTTTTTCTTTACATAAATAACAATGCAAAGAATGCTTTCTATGTAAGCTTTTATCTTAAACTGTGATATCATTTTTTGTTCTTCTTCCCCATGAAATTAGTTTTTGACTTGAAAAAGGGACACAAAAAAGCAGTCTAGCTGCATGTACACTGCTAAGCTGAATTATACATTTAAAGTCATGATGAAATTACTGTGCTGTTTGGACTTCCAACTGGTGGAAATGACCACGTACACACAGCGGTCAGGCAGAAACTCCCCTCCACTGGTACGGAAGGAGGTAAAGTGGTAACAAGATGTGCCTTGATTCTTCTGATGGCTACAGATGGAATTATCTTTCTTTGCAGCAATTCATACTCAGAGTTACAAAGGAAAAATGATAGATATAGTAAAAAAATCACCACTTGGTTAAGAAGTGTTACTGTAAGACTTACCTTACTCTGAACCTTTTTCCCAAGGATGGCAAGCTCTGAAGTCCAATGCACGGGGAATTAAAGTGTAAACATTCACATATTTAATAGTACCATCAAAATAACCATCATCACTACATTAAAAACTTCAAAAATGCATATGGTCCTAATATAAATTAAATATATGAACTAAAAGTAAATAAATTTAACATTAGGTAATGCTATAAATAGACGTAAATGCGTTTAGTGTACCTTTGAGTCATAAAAATGCCTTAAAAAACAGGTAAGTTTACAGCTTATCACCAATACTCTGGATACCACTGTCATGATTTTTTTCAAACATTGATAAGTCTACATTTGACAATTCAGAATGATTTTTGGCCACTGAACACTTTGATGGAGGAAGAGGTGTGTGGGATGTCCAGGATGAAGTCCAAGTTTTATTTCACAATAAAACTTCTTTGATTCCCAGCGCTGATAACAAGGCTCTTTCTTTTCAAAACCTTACTTTTAAGTGCTTTTTTATTTTGGTTTTTAACTTGTTTAGATATCCATTTTGCGAAGGCTCAT